AGGAGCGTCGGTTCTCGTGGTCGGGTTGCGATGTGCTAAAATTTGTCGGAAACGGCGCCGTACACTGCCAACGGACGTGATGTTGGTGTTGGTGCTGGTGCTGGTACAAGTTGAGGTGGTCGAGCTAGACAAGTAGGAGAAATAGGGAGGAGAAATAAGGTAGGCGAGAAGCATGTGCAAGGTGGGAGTTTTGAATGCTTAGCACATGATGATGAGACCCGGGGAAATCTGGGGTAGTGGGCAGGGTGAAGACGGGAAACCGTGGGACAGATTTTGGAGTTACGAGATGGCAGATGAGCGGGATGGACGGCGGATGACGGGCGATGGCGGAGGCTGAAGGATGCCGGCAGGGTTCTTGGCTGTCGCTGTCGCCTGAGCTGTTGGAGTCTTGAGTCTTGCAGTTGGAGTCGGGGTGTCGGCCTGGCCCAAGAACTTTTAGTACGTACTCCGTACTCCGTGAGGCGGAGCCTCTTTTGGCCAGACCCTTTTTTCCATTGACCTCAAGCTCAAGTGCTGTCTCCTCTCAGCGCCCCCCCGCTCGTCCCCTCCTTGGGTACACTAAGGTGGTGGTGCCTTGATTCTGTGGCTCGCGAGTGGTCGGGCGGTCGAGGGGTGCGGCTGTGGCCACCAGCTTTCCCTCACTCACATTGTCACACGCAGGAATGTCGAGCACAACGCCAACGCTCAACTACTATTGTGGTCTCCTTACAGATGTTACAGATGACCATGCTCCGTGCTTGACGCTCTGTGCTCGATGCTCCACACTCCACGCTCCCAAGCTCTGAGCTCCACGCGATGCCGCCGCCGCCTTGACGACTGTTACAGGCCCTCGAGCTGCAGCCCTGACAAAAAAAAGGCACAGTGCTCCCAGACCTGCGGACGGACTGCCATTGTCCAGGCGGCCGGGGAAGCCATTTGGGCGGATACCCTCCCCAGTCCAGGCCACAGAATTAGCCCTCACAGTTCAGTTTAGCCCACACACGGAAATGTGGGAGGGGAGGGACCGTGATCTACGTATGGGCTCTGTGTGTGCATCTTATCCCACGGATGAGAGCGGGGCATTCGATGCTGGCTAGGCATGTTGGGCGACAAGGTAGTATGTATGTATGTATGTGCAAGTCGTTGGCGAGTGTCACTGCTGGAGCTGCATTTTAACCTTTGTGCCGGACAGATGGAACTTGAGATTTGGGCCATCATCATTCCTGAGCCCAGGACAGTATTCTCGAAACAAAACCATTAGCTTGGCCAGTAGACTGTCCACGACGGACGGATCTGGCAACCACATGCGTGCATGGCTCAATCGCTGGGGACAAACCTACCAACAACTATGAAGCCCTATAGCATGCATATAATATTGCAAATCCCAGCCTACCCGCCATCAGTCTGCCCATCTGCAAGTCTCGGACCGACGGCTGCCGTGTTGTTCCCAAAACGTCAATATAAAATTTTATTTGGGCCAACGCCCTTCACATCCGGGCCAATATTGTTGTGTGGGGACTATACTTCTCTCCTGTGCATCTGTTATGCTAATCCCAACCTGAAGCAGTTACAGAGTACGATATTTATCTGCTCTTGTCTCTAGAGTGCAGCCAAGCAGTGGCAAGCTATGTTATTCATCTGCTCTTTTCTTTGGAGTGCAGCAACACTCTTTGATACACCATTCTGTTTGAACCAAGTACACACCGCGACACCCACTTCGATGGCCTGGAAGCCAGCTCTCTTGTCGTACCACATTTGCTTGCTCGCCGCCATCGGGTAGCAGCACCAGACATTGATCATCAAGCCCTCATCCGGTATGTGCTCCGCAACACTGATGGATGTTCCTCTAGCCGTGTCCGAGAGGGTCTCAGGATTCGGCCGTCAAACTTACCCAACCCCTGCAAACAAGCGACGTCGACCAGACATCATACATTGTACATATGTACTACTCACTACGGATAGGGCGGAGGATTTACGGAGCTACTCCGTATTATAACGTTACCAAATGCGCCCCGTCAGCTTGTCTGTGTTGCCTCGACAGCCTGCCATGAACCCCTTTCCCCGACGAGGACAAATGCTGGCCGGCTGGATACGACAATTGTCTCTTAATGACAGTCATCGACTTTTAGAGGCTTATGATTCGTAGTAGATGTCAATTCCGCCCCACGAAGCACTCGACTCCCCACGTGAGATGGAGCCAGCGTACATAAATCTCGCTCCGGAGGACAAGGGACGCCAGGTCTCTATTCTTGGTCCGCCACAATCACATGTCATCGGGTCTCGCTCTCCTTTCTGCCTCGAGACCTTTCTCCAGAATGCCTTTGGTCGATTGCACCATGCCATTGTGATGGCGATGGCTCCGATCAATCCCGGGCTTATTGCGCCTCGTAGCAGGGTCCGGAGTCCTCCGTCGGTTGATGTCAAGTATGGGATTGGCGCGGCGACTATTTACAGTAGGTCATCCGTCCTTTTGTTTCACAAAAATGTTCGTACCATTGCGTAGTCATCAAGAAGTTGTTTGTGGCACTATCAGTTCCCCTAGGCAGTTTGGCTTGCTCGGGATAGAGTCGGATCCGGCGTAAGCTAGGCCGGTCCACACCATTACCTTGCCTGTAAATCATGATGAATTTCTTATTAGCTGGCATGGCTTTTCGTCACTTTCCTGCTATTCGTGAAAGCTAGGAGAAACAGGGGGGCGACTTGATATCTCATTGTTGGCTTGCATGACATGGTCATTAGATGTATTGTATATCGGGTCTCGCTCCTGGAAGACGGGCGTGCCGCCACGTCCACAGATCCAACTACGAATAGCAAATATCTGCCAATATTCTGTGTTGTTTTCGGACAAGCCCCGTAGACCCTTGGCAAAGCCCCAGTTGAAACCAACTGACTGCATAGACCAGAGCACATGACCTGAAATACAATGTTGCATTGTATCTATGTACAGGTATTCAAGGTCATTCTTGGCGGGATCTGGAACAGCCCTGTAGTAATGAATCACGAGCAAACGCCAACGTGAGGGGTGTCTCCGTATCCTCTTGCGAGAGGACGCTTGCGAACATTCGACGCGCTTTCCATCACCGGTGGCTTGCAATAATGTGGCTTTGTAGCTTATTTCATGACATTAGATAGTAATTCACCTGAACCCCTTTCTGGTGCATGGGTGAAATTGATGGCGTCACCACATTTGTACAACAGTTGACGAAGACAGAATGGCTCTGTAGATCTTGGCAAGCTTCAAATGTTGACTGTTGGTTATTGACTCGGTCTTGGGGGTGCGGCTGCACGCTGCACCCCTGCACACTCTGATGAAGACAGTTCGGAGGGCTTGCCATATTGGATTAATGACGATGGTGGTTTCGGGGCATTTGCCTGGCCTGTATAACGTCTGGTGTCTTTCCGAGGGACTGATACCAAAGTTCAACGCCAATTTCTTGTTTGATTCTCCTACGGATCCAAAGTCAATGAGACACATGACGTTTTGAAGGCTTTGTTAGAGTGCCTTGGCCTCTGCCAGGGCGGATATCACGGACGCCATTATGTACCGAAAAGATGTCCATGCCGATGTGCAGCTCGCATACGGAAATCTCCGGCCAAAGCGCTGTAGTTGCAATATTGATGGGTGCCAAGTGATGCTTGGCCTAAAGGAAGCCAGCAGCGGATTGACAACAGTGGACGGGGTTCCACCGCCTGCGGTTGGTGAGTAGCCGTGTATTCCATATGTACCTCTGCTTGGTGTTTTTTTTTTTAGATCCGTTTTTATGCCAAGATGGACCGTTCCAATTTAAAATTTTGGGTTGAAGCGTGAGGTCGTGCATGGAGACGGTGCACCAGAAGCAGAGACTGGGGTCATGCTGCCGGTTGGGACCATGTTCCAGCACACTCATAGGCAGGCCACAGCTGCCCACAATGCTGGAGATGGCAACCGTGCTGGGAAGGTCGCCCGATTGCCCCTGTAGACTGTTGTACTTCAGCATCGCCATGTTGTGAAGACTCATGCATATGTAGTATTGACATACATACATACTGTACAGACTGTCGATGAAGGATACAACGCCGAATGCTGAAACGCCGAGCAGAATCGACATGTCCCCCTCCCCCCATGGAGTACGTACTGCCCCTACCCCACGCTTCCCTTTACCAGGAAAGAGCAACCGGGGAGCAACAGCAACTCATGCTAGCCGAGGCTTGTGACAGCTCCTGAGCTGGCCAGGAAGGATGTATTTTTCTGAAGCCAAGGAAGGAACTCTCCAGCGCGAACTTTGGGGCGTTTCGAACATCAATGTTGAAATAACCACATCATTCAGTCCACGCGGCCACGCGCTCCATCGCGACCGTCTCCGTTCCCAACGTCCGGGCCGGTTACGTCGTACTCGTGCGCAGCATTGATGCTGTGCGACCGAACACGCTTCCGCGGCTCTCGCTACAACGACGGCCGTTGTTGATTCGGGCTCAGACGCCGACTTGCAGCGGCACGGCAAGCCTTTCCGTGGCGAGACCTGTCATCTAATAATATTGTATTGACGCGACACCAACTTGCTACACGGACGCAAATTCTCACACAGTACCTGGCGTCCACGACATACGTACTCCGTACACCGCCAACGACACTATCGAATGCGCCCCTTCTCTTTGCATACAGTCAACTTTGACTTTCTGCGCCCCTGTGGATTGCAGGGAACCGGCTCTTTGGCGTCTTGGAAAGGGGAACTGCGAATGCCACCGTCACCTTGGTGTGACACTTCTAAAGTCCTCTGACGGAATCAGCTACTGTCAAGGCAAGGCTGCCGTCGGCGCTGCTACCCGTGGTTCGTGTAGAGCAGGAGTCAAGGCCCAAACAAAGCTGTGCACACCATCAAAGTGAACCACCACAGATCAGCCCGACTTCTACCGACCACCATCGACGCTCAACGTACTTTCATTTGCTCGCCATCAGCCGGTTGGTCAACCCCGGATTGTCAACTGCCCCATCCATCTTTCGTCCGCCATCTCCATTTCCGCATTCGCGAGTATTTCCCAACATGGAACTACGGGGGACTGCCTCCTCCAAAGGCAGTCCGGATATTCGAAGCATTCTCACTTCAACAATGGCCAAAATTAGCACTGGTACCAGCTCCCCCCGCAAGTCGTCCTTTCTGCAGCTGCAGTCGATTCCGCCTCCCCTGCGGCCGCTTGTACGCGCATACCTGTTGGGCTATGCGTCTGCCGTACTGCCCCGACTCTTGACGCTTGTCTTGCAGCATTTGTCCAACAGGGAGCGGAAGACGCCCAATTACGCATTACCGGAAAGAGACGAGAACACCTTTTTGGAATCCGCAAAGCATGTTCTCAAGACTGGCTTGGATCCTTGCCGATTTCCCACGTTTTGTGCTGCCTTGGTTGGAGGTGCCACTCTATTACAGGTTCGTCGTCATTTTTATTTCACTGCTGCAAAAACATCTCACTAGCTTTATCAATCTCGATTCGCAAACTATCCTAGCATCTCACACACCACGTTTCACCCCACATCTTTACCCCAACTACCACCTTGAGCCCCCGATCCCGGTACTCGTTCTCCCAAGCTTCACTACACCACCCCAAACCTAGTCTGCTCTATCCCCAGAAAATCATGTCAACACGGATCAAAGTTAAAAAAACATTGCTATCCTATTAGCTGCCTTTATTCCCCTGTGCATTGTTACTTTTAGTGGCAGCTTATAGCGGGAGACAGAAAGTATTTGACCAAATCGGGTGCCCAGCTATCACGCTTCATAATATATTACAGTATATTAGTGTATACCTCTTGGTGGGCAAATATTCCGCTGTATATAGATTGTGGTTTTCACGTTTGCTCTCTCTATACCCCTGTTAACATTCGTTGGAAACAAGGCACCCTTGAACAAGATCATAACCCGCGCCGCCACAAACCTTGGCAGTGTTGCCAAACTAAGGTATGTAGGATCGGATCTCCGGCCAAACTACCAAGTCCCGTCCTGGAGCTAAGCTAACCTCCACGCTCTTGGGATCTCCACTACAGACTCAGCAGATTTCTTGCCACGTTCGTTTCTGCTTGGTTTAGTCTAAAGCTGTTACAGTCTAAAAAGCCTACATTGCGAAGGCGCGCCGGATCATCTACAACTCGATACGTCGATCCCGCAACCGGCAAGAAACTTGCTGGGAGAACGGTGGACCTGACACTGTTCGCGGCAACGCAGGCCATAGACGTTATTGTCGGCGAACTATGGGCACGACACAAGGGCCGGCGCCTGGCCGCGCAAAAATGGACCAAGGTACGAAATTATACGGCGCGCAACTCACCGCTTTGCCCCAGTTTACAAAGATAAAAGCTCGTACAGGCAGTCTTGCGTGCTATTTTGCCCCTGCTGAGCATGCCCTAGCTTATGCTAGACTAAACTATTGAGTCTAGTCGAGTTTTGCTAATCTGTCAAACACAGGTCGAGGCTTTCATCTCTCAAATGACTGACCCAGTTTCATTCGTAGCATCCTGCGCGCTCATCATGTGGGCTTGGTTCTACGCTCCTGATAACCTCCCACGGGCATACAACAAGTGGATCACATCAGCTGCCCACGTAGATATTCGCCTCATTGAAGCACTGCGCCGTTGTCGGACCCGCGAGTTGAGTTATGAGAAGGAAACAGGTCAGGCACATCTCCTTGGCACCATGTGTACAGACCATAGCCTGCCTTACGAATGGGGCGATCCATGCAAAACTATTCCATTTCCTTGCGATATAGTTCATATGGGACGCGGCCCATCGTGCGAATATCATGCCTGGCGACGATTCTGGCTCTCCTGGAAGTGGTCAATGTATACATACCTCCCTCTCGCCTTGGCCCTACAATTGCGTAAGCCGAATCGCGACTCTCTCAGGACCGCACTCCTCTCAGCCGCCAGATCATCTGCCTTCTTGGGCACTTATATTACGCTATTCTATTACGGCGTCTGTCTTGGCCGAACCCGCATTGGCCCCCATCTACTGGGAAAGGATGTCGCTTGTCGACAGAAGATAGATGGCGGGTATTGCGTGGGCGTAGGCTGCTTCCTCTGCGGATGGAGCGTCTTGATCGAGACTGCAAACCGAAGGAAGGACATGGCCCTATTTGTTGCGCCCCGTGCAATGGCTACGCTGCTGCCCAGGCAGTACAAAATGGAGGTGCAGTGGAGAGAAACGCTGGCGTTTGCCTTGAGCACGGCAGTGGTTTTTACCTGTGCGAAAGAGAACCCAAGGAGGGTGAGAGGCATGTTGGGTGGAATATTGGGACTTGCAATGAAAGAGTAAGTCATGTATGAGTGTGTATAGTAGGAACATGCCGGCATTATAATAATACTTGATACGTAGGTTGTAGATAATGTGTATGTGCGGCGGGTGAACAGTTGGCACCATTACTGAATATAGCATTGTGAAAGAGTGTCAGATGCACATTCTACATCGCGGAATTACTGACAACATTCTCTGCGTGTGCGTGTTGCTGCTGTCCTGGCTGCAGACGTATCACATGAAGTTGGTATGGGATACACGAACACGGTGTGAGCCGTGGTTTCCTATTCAGGAATCCTGTGTACAATTTCGGCAGCCGCAGACTGAGAGTTATGCCTTGAGATCCCGTGATTTAGTCATAGCAAAGGTAAACAAGCTTAAATTCCCCAATTCATGCCTCCGACCGTTTCGCTTCGGCAGCTCACCTCTTTGCTAGATATTATTGATAGCTCGCACGCACACCGGGCACACAAGCACCAGGCGCACGACTCTGGGCATTAATCATTATGGATTCCAGCGAGGAAGCTTATCACCGACGAAGGTGCCTTGTCCAGGACATTATTTGCTCCTTTGGCCTGAAGGTTTGTAAAGCCAACTCGCAACCTATATTCGTCCCCCTATTTTGCACAGACACGGTGATGCACTGATGATGCATTCTGCGCCATCACTGTGATATCGGGCGCATGAGAAGACGCAAGCTAATAACAGAATCGAACAGAGCGAATCGGTTACTCCAGTAGAATACGTTGGATACAACCCCTTTCCGGTCAACAACTTCATCTACAAGGTTGCACTCTCTTCGCCCGCTACCGAGGAGCATTTCACGAGAGCAGGACACCAGACATGTGCTGTATTGCCCCCTTTGACAGGTGAATCTACTGTCATTGTGAGGTTGAGCAATCCGACGTCTATGGGGATGAATAACACGAACCGCGTGGAGAATGAAGTTTGTGCCATGGCGGTGGCAAGGGAAGCCATGGCGAGTGTTGAGGGAGGAAGGTATGATGCCATAGTGCCTCGTGTTTATGCGTGGAAGAGCACTCGAATGATGGCCGGAGATGCTCCCGAGCAAGGATTTGGGTGGATAGTCATGGAGTACATGGAGGGTGAGGTGTTGGATATGCTATTCGGGGATATGAAGTGGGATGAAAAGAAGAGGGTCATTGGCGAGATTGCGTGCATTTTTGCGGCTTTCCAGAAGGCGAAATTGCCCCAACGAGTCGAGCTCCATGGAGGAATGACAGTTCGGGATGGAGATATTGTTTCGGGGCAGGCTACGATGCACAAGGGCGAGCCGTCGGGATACGTTGGCCTTTGGAAAGCCAGAATCGACCATGCGTTGGAGCAAGCTGACGAGAGCACGCTCATCAACGGTTGGAAAGGAGGCGTCCGCGAAAGAATTGAAAAGTTCAAAAATGACAAGTTGGGAGTTCTTATCCACAACGGAGAAGTCGATTCGACCTTGCTTGGACTTGTCCACAACGATTTCAGTATGTACCGCTCTCCACGCTTCGCTGACTGACCCAACGTTGACATCCTGAAAAAAGCCATAAGCAATATGCTCTATAACCCGTATACGAAGCGCATCACAGCGCTCCTAGACTTCGACTGGTCGTCCGTCACCCACCCCGCCCACGAATTCTTCACGTCCTTTCATGACGTACACGGCAGGGTCGATGAAGCTTCCGAAAAGCTGCGCAAGGCCATTTTTAGCGGCGACTTTGGTAACCACCCTGATGAAGATGAAGATCAAGAAGCCTGGAAGTTGGCAAAGACGTGGGATGATGCCCTCAAGCAGCATGGTGGAATGAGACCTTGTGACTTCAAGGGAATAGAGTTATTGCAAGGGCTCTGGAACTTTGTTTACTCTATCTGCCCGTTTGAGTTGGGCAGCAAGGTTATGCTCTTTCGAAGATCAAAGAAGGAGAGTGAGGCTGCAAAGGAGAGGGTTGAGGGACAGATTAGCAAGATGTTGAGCGGCTGGGGCGTCTGAGGTCAGTAACCCATGTCTTTGATATCATGAACCCCAGAGAAGTATGTAATTTTTTTAGCGTTGAGAATTCGTTGCCCATGTGGCAGGTAGCTGTACGAAGCAGTCACCTTGGACGATCACACTCCAATAGGGTGTACTACAATTACAGAATGCAGACTTGTTTAAAAATTGGTTTGCTCTAGATTTCAGGAAGTCATGTGCCTGTGACGCTGTGGCAAACGGACTCAGTTATCCGTTTGCTCACTTCTCGCTTATTTCTGACTTGCCGCTCACCTCTCGCTTATATATAGTAGTCGATGTTTCCCACTGCACCCTCTCTTTTCTTTCTTCTTGCATCTCTAGTTTCGATCCCCCCTCTTGGCTCCATCTATCTCTTCTTGCCCCCGTGTGACCATGTGAGTAAAAATTCTCTTGGTGTTATCCTCTGTGACGAAACATAACAAACTCATGGTATGAAGCACAGTTTGTCACCTGCCGGCACAGCTGGTCAAGACCATCTTCGTCATGCTCGTCATGGGCATCCCTGATCTGAGGATAGATCCCTCTGAGGCCCTAGAGTAAGTCATCTTCCAGGTTTCGTACGGTAGGCCTTGTCTCACACAGTTCATACCACAGCTTACGTGGTACTCTGGTGCATGTTATTGTTGGCCCCAAACCTGGGCAACGATTCACCGTTCATGAAGGGGTATTTAAATCTACCCTTGATGAAGATTCATATCACGAGCTCTTGGAAGAAAACCAAGAAGATGGGCATGAATGCATTATTTTGAAAGACCACAGCCCAGCAAGCTTCAAGGTTTATGTCAACTGGTTGTACCGCCGCAGGATCCCTATACCAGGTCAGGCTGTCACGACTTCTTCCGAAGAAGATGTTATAGAAGATGAGTACGTGGAGCTGGCAAAAGCGTACAGTTTGGGATGCGAGTTAGAAGACTTTGATTTCATGGATACGGTCATGGACGCATTCATGGTGCGGGCATTCACCAAGGACTCCAAAGGACGGAATTGGGCCCCCAGTCATAAGGCAGTTAACCTCATTCAAGACACTAGCTACAATGACGTGGCTATGGAGGTTTTGGGAGATTTGTACGTGCGTTTTGGAAACCACCAGCACTGGGGTGAGGGGATGACGAAGGTTTGCAAGACATTTTCTCATGAACTAGCGCGAAAGCTCCTGGAATCCCGTAAGGAGGGAAAGAATGGGGATGATATTCTGAAGGACACGTGCAAACACCACTTTCATTCAAATGGTTCTTGCTACCGAGATCAGTTGACAGCAGAACATATGGATAAGGGTCAGGAGGAAAACTAGGAGGTTGGAAGAGAGACCAGGGAGTTGAGGATGCATGGGTGAATCGGCACTCACGAGTCACGACATCCTAATGCCTCGTTCATGATGCAACAAAAACAGCTAGAAGTACACAAAGGCAGGGATTTTGAGAAATTCGGTACTTGGAGGAATTTACCACGTCGGCCAACAAGCATGAAACGATGACATACCACTGTGAACCGTAGGGGAATTTAAAAGAAATACAGCCGAGTTAACCTTAGATGATATCCCCATTCAAGTGACAAAAGAATATGAATGACTGTAACATACACCAAGACACAAAGCAGTCACTGTTTAGCATTAAACAGCGCAGCTGCAGATTGTGGACGTCTTCTTTCATTCTCCCAGCATGCATTTAGCGATACGTAAAAATCTCTTTAAAAATTCGTTTGCATTATGAGCAATATTCTGAAACAGTTGCAAGGTATAGGGGAGTGAAAGCGACGCACCGGTGCCTTTGTTCCACAGTAAAGAATAGCAGCGAGACAAAGACATGACCACTTGACTGCCCTCGGCCCCCTTTTTTCTTCCCTTTCTCTTTTTCTTTCTTCCTTTTTTTTTTGAACTTTTTTCACCTCACAATCCACGGCACCAGCACTGACCACCTGAATCTTTGTCTAGCATACCATGCTTGACTCTTTATTGTTTGCCTTCTTTTCCGTCGTAATGGCGGCGAATGGCTATAATAACCGTCCGCCTGGCTGCATGTGCGCCATCATTATTCACTGCTCTCCTGCGCTCACCTACGATTCAAAGAAGGAGGGGTGAAAGTTTTAAACGACATCATTCATCGACGACAGCCGAGAACCTTGCGGTGTTGATCAATCTGCGGTGTGATCACGACAATTGCTGCGAATCAGCTCCTCCTCAATTGTGCTCCAACTTCCAATGGGTAAAGACAGAACAGTCTCCAAATCCGAGGCCAGGAGGTGAGTCAAAATCGAAATCAGCCACAAACTGCATGTGAGGCTCCATCTTCTAAATCATTACTCCTAGTCCTTTGAGAGGAATCGTAACTATCAAAGCTGGAAAAGAGGAATTTCATGTTCACTACAAGCGCTTGCCCCAGAAGGTGAAGTCTTTAATTAAAACCAAATCTTTCAAATGTCATCAAACATTTCCATCTGCGAATCGTCGCAAATCGTTGAGATTTTCAGCACGTCTCGGGGTATGGCGATCTTCAAACCGTCGTGAGAAATTACCTGCTTCAAAATGTACCAAGAGAGAGCGACCGCAGGTAGATGTATGGGTTTTTCGCAGTATATCTCTTGATGGACATGATCTGGAGGCCGTCAAGAAGTATATAAGCTATTTAGGGGGGGAAATTGGGCCAAACACGTCAGCTTCGGGGGGCCAACAACCCGGTCAAATCCAGGGCGGCAGCCAAATTCAAGCCAATGCTCAAGGTGGCACTCGAACCCAAGGCGGCACTCAAATCCACCGCCCTCAGATCCAAGGCGTCACTCAAACCCAAGGCGTCACTCGAACCCAAGGCGGCACTCGAACCCAAGGCGGCACTCAAATCCACCGCCCTCCTCAGATCCAAGACGGCCTTCATATCTACAGCCCCATTCAAACCCAAGGCAGCGCTCAAATCCACCACCCTCCTCAGATCCACTGCAGCCCTCAGATCCACAGCGGCTTTCAAAACCACGGTCAGACTCAAACCCAAGGCGGCACTCAAATCCATCGCCCTTCTCAGATCCAAGGCGGCTCTCAAATCCACGGTCAGACTCGAAACCAAGGTCACGCTCAAACCCAAGGCGGCGCTCAAACTCATCGCCGCCCTCAGGTCCAAGGCGGTACTCAAATCCAAAGTAACGCTCAAAGCCAAGGCGGAGGCAGCCAAAGCCAAGGCATCGATCGTGGAAATGAAAACGAAAAAGATAAAAGGGAACTCCTTTTACTAGCAAAAATGTGGTCCTTGGGGGGGTATTTAGAGGACAGCGGCTTTCAACAGTATGCCTACGGTCGCTTCTTCAAGCTCGTATATGAAAATTACGCCAAAAACCCGGCGGGATGGGATGGAAACATCATGCCAATTTCTTGGACTTACAAAAACACCAAAAAAGGATCACTACTTCGAAGAGATATCGCTGCGATTTATGCTGATTGCAGCGTCCAGACGCTGGACAAGTGCGACATTGGGGGCGATGAACGGACTGAGTTTGTGGAGTATCTTGCGTGCAGAAAATGGGAAAAATAAACAAATCGAGGCAAGACACGCGGAGAGACGGCAGGTAGAATCAGGTTTGAAGCAATGGCATGGAAAGACCATTTATTTCTATGACAGTTTGAGATGTATATTTTGGATGGCGTGTTGAAGTTTGAAGTTTGACTCTGGCTAGGCAATGGTTATGAATGTTTGAAAGCGTAGTTGAATTGACTGGGTAACATGTCAGCCTGTCGCTCATTCCATTGTTGTGCCCTTGACATGACGTGTCATTTCATCGTCTTGGCAGTGACTGTATGCAGGCAGTTCATGTTGCTGAGCATACTAGCATGGCAATGGACGCAGAAAGACGGCACCGTGATTCTTTCCTTTCTTGACATACAGGTTGAACACAGTTGGAACAAGTCGAACATAGATGAACATAAAGTCCACGTTACCCTCTGGCCTTTGTTGTTCAACGATAGTTCCTTCTCATTGTTCCTGCCCAAATTCTTATTTAATTCCGGCTCCCTCGCCTACTTTCCACTCTTTCATTCCTCATCTACACAAGTCGAAATTGCAGGATCAGCTGTCAACTCACTGGGAAACGCCCAAGATACCTGTCAACAGCAAAAACGTGCTCCAACTGCCAAAGAATCAGCGCTTATATTCGCTAAGAATAGTCTCATCCTCGGTAGCCCTACGCAGTCTCGAGTACCAAGAAGAAATATCTGATTTGAGAGTCGATCCATCCAAGATGCTTGAGTAAGTAGTCGCAAGACATGAGCGCATTGCCTCTTGAACGCCTACTAACACCATTCAACAGCTTCACCTGTCCAGCAGTCGAGATCACAGTCGGCTCAAACAGCGCAGCGACAAAATTCTACGTCCACAGGAACATCATCTGCTTATCGCCCTACTTCGAGAGAATCCTGGCCCGGGAAGGGATGTGGAAAGAATGTCAGAATGGGCAAGTGTCGCTTCAAAGCGCGGACCCAGACATATTCCGCATTTACGTAAACTGGCTGTATTTCTTTCATCAGAGACTTGCAGGTCGAGATGATTCATCTCTCAACGTGGACATACACGCCGACTTCTTCCAGAAGGCCAATTTCTTACAGCTAGCCCAAGCCCACGTGCTGGGAGACTTTTTTTGCGATGTCAAGTTTGCAGAAGCCGCCGCGAAGGCTATTGAAACGAATGTAAAAAGAGGGCCGAAAAACTGCAGGATCCTCCTTCCTGGGGCTGAAGTCATTGATTACATCTACCAGAACACCGAGGAGACATCCGTTGCCAGAAATACTCTGGTAGATGTATTCGTGCGCTACGGAAGCGGGCAACAGCTCGAAAAGCTGAAGCCGGCGCAAGATCACCTTCGAGAGTTCCTTGTCAATCTCGCTCGCGATCTCGTCACAAAGGATCTGAGGTCTGGATCCAGGGAATACAGAAGTCAGAAATGGTTCAATGGTCAGGAGGAACCTTCTCCTCAGTTCCTTTTCGGTGTCGTCCTCGATCTCTTGCCTGATTACAAAGTTTTACGGTGAAATACAAAAAGCGTACACACGGAATCAATGTCAATTGTGTATGCTTGAATATTCCGTAACGTCTGGTGGAGTTGGGATGTGATGGATACAAAGCAACTACATATGTAGGCTCGGGGTACTGAGGCCTGGCATGGCAGTAATGTCACTAGTATAAGATAGCTACCAAATAGATTGCGTTATCGTCTCACCTGACGCTCACTTTGTGACCTTGAAGAAACACTGCCGACTGTCACCCTGTGCACCAACACTCCTGGTATAAAACCCTTTCACTTTGTTCACTTCCTCTCACTCTACAACTTCTTCCTCACACACACACACACTCACGCACTCACACACACTCACACACACTCATAACCACCTACCAACCCAAGCCCATCACACATTCATTCTCATACATTTCATCCATTTTCGTCCCAGCCCAGCCCCTACAGCTAAGATGCCTCCCTTCAAGAAGTGGGAAATTACTGCTGAACTTGACCTCTGCATGGCCATCATTTACACCGGTGGCTCAGTCGGTTCATACAAGTGGCCTGAGATCCATGAACTCATGGTCAAGTTAGGCCACGACTTCACCAAGGATGCTATTTCGTACGCTTCCCCATCCTCCCCTCTGTGTTCTATACACTTGGTATCATCTTTCCTTGCAAGACATGCCACCGGCTAACACGCACCAGCCAGCACTTCACAAAGGCTATCCTCAAGAGCTTCAAGGACCGACATGGCCTACCAGCCGGGAAGCTAGAGTCCATAACCCCCACCAAGACGAAGAGAAAGGCGGCCGGTAACGCTGAGGAGTCCCCCTCCAAGAGAAAGGCAAAGTAAGGCAGCGCATGAGCTTTGACTACCTTGGGTATGCACTCTTCCCTGGGCACACGGGTATATGGCACTGTATGCTGACGAGTGGCAGGGCTGTGCTGTGACGTGGAAGATTGATACCCGAATCGCTGTGAATTCCACGGCGTGCAGATGGATGAAAAGGTACTTGCTTAGGAAATAACGGGAGAAGTAGTCAATAGCTTTGGGGGGGAGACAGGTGCGTGTATAATGGCAAGGGATCCAGATGGGTATCTGTAATGAGAAACACAGGGTACCTATATCGCACGAACAGAGCTACGTAATGGAATCAATTCATCAAGTTTGTGGCATCTAGTAACTCGAGATCCCTTCCATCACCCCATGCCCAAAGCCCAAACGCCAGAAAAAAGCCCAGTCATCACTTCGGACGACGACCGTCCAGTCTGTAACCTTCACTGGGACCCTTCTTGTCAGGCGCCTTGCTCTTGTCATCCGCCTCGCCCTTTCTCTTGGCGGTTCCTCGGAGACTCTGTCCCTGGCCTGCAAAGTGCGGCCGTTTGGCGTCCTCGTGCTCCTGCTCCTTCTCCTCCTTTGTTTTCAGCGGCTTGTACTCGTACCCAAAGAACAGCTTATTCGGGGCCAAGCGCAGTGGTGCCGGCGCGCCAGTTCGGCTCTTGGGCGCAGTTGGTTCGGCCGGGACGGGCGTTGCCGGCTTTGGCGTCGACGTCTTGCTGCCCTTCTTTGTGAGGCGCTGGCCCTCGCCGACAAAGTTGGTGGGGTTGCTGGTGACGGAGGGCGCGATGGAGCCGTAGCCGATTGCTTGGGCCATGGTGCCCTGGCTCTGGACAAGGCCGCCCGTGGGAACGCCGCTGCGAGTGCTGCCGGGCGTGTTGGTGCCGCTTCTCCTCTCGGGCTCGACGTAGCCGACGGGGGGCGCGAATTCGACCGACACGTCTGTCTCAATCATGCTGACGCCCATCTTGTCCGTCTCGGGCTTGACATCCAGCACCGCCACCTCGTATATCTCGTCGTTGTACTCAAAGTTGAACACGTCGCCCTTGGTCAGCGTGGCAAAGTTTCTAAAGGCCCTCTCCAGCACAGCTTTTGGATCACTAATTTCTAAAAAGTTGACTGATTGGGGCTGGAGCTTGACCATCTTTGCCAGTTCGAGCGACGTGGTTCGGATCTGAATCATGTCGCCCACGTCCATGCCCAGTGTCTCCATCATCTGCAGCCTGTTAGTCTGCGAGAACCGCACATGTGGTCATGGCCAAGTCATCACCCACCCACTGGGGAATGTATGCCCGTCCCTCTTCTGCGATAAACTCCAACACACCGGCGTGGGAATGCCTTCCCTTCTCCCCGTTGATCATTTCCATCAGTAGCGGCCACTGCACATGCAGCTTTGAGACCTTGTCCAGGGCCGAGGGCGGCAGAATGATTTTGGAACCATAGTTCAGCTCGGGTCGCTCTGCACCGGGGGCCATGACGACGGGGTAGCACCTGTAGTACTCGTCGAATCGCTGCATCACCGGTCTCCGGCCGCGGGCCATGTTGTAAAGGTGTTCCGGGTTGGCCGGATCGAAGCCACCGCCAAACCCGGGTTGAAACTGCGATCCAGTTAGCCAGGTTGATCATGAACAGGGCTGAGGGCTGAAGCTGACCATGGCGACGGGTTGCCAATCGGAGCAAGTTTTGTGGGTGAATGCTTTCTCGAAGAACTTGTTTGCAATGAACAAGCGGTTTTGGGTCTAAAATCGACCACCGCGCGGGGAAAAGGTGTCCGACTGTCGCCGCTTATATATTCACGTGGTTGAACTGGAGGCAAGATGTGGTAAGTTGATGTCGAAGCTTGAAGTCGGTGCTTGAGGCGTCAATGTGGGGTGACGTGGAACATGACATGCAACGTGAACGCCAAAGGCAGCTCTACGAATGACGCAAAGGTCCTCTGTGGCGCACAACAGGGGGCATCTGGAGGTGTGGCTCAAGCTTAGCACCACGATGCAACAAGGGTTGCGCTAGCGTTGAACTTGACCTTGTCCAGATGTCAAATTCAGTTGACATTTATTTTCTATCCATCGGGTCCAGGCCCCAACTGCGTAGATTCAAGTCGCCATCACGCATCTTCAGAATCACCTTTGAGTGTGGAGGCATCGACTCTCGATTGGTTCATTCTTTCCATTGCTACACAGAGCCCATTTTCGGTTCCTTCCTTCACCATGTCCTCGAGGCATTCGGCGGCGCGACCAAATCGAGCGGGCGAGGACTTTGCTCGCACCCACCACGGTGAAGCGGGCAGCGACAGTGGCAACGCCAAATTTGACGTCCGAAACCCGTCCATACTGGCCCCGGACTCAAGAGAGGAGGATGCCATCCTGGATGCAGACGTCATCGGCAGCAGGCACTCCACAAAGCGCGGTGCCGTAAACCTAGACGGCTACGATAGCGACTCGGATAACGAAACATTCAACACCAGGGCTGCAAGCCGCAAGAAGGGCAAAGTCGATATCAATGAGCAGCTGGACAACTACGATGCCGCAGGATCTGCAGCAGCAGCCTCGGGGGGCAATGTCAATGGTGCGGACGAGGACGAGGAAGACCAAGACATGTTTGCCATGGGCGGCGAGGCGGACGCACCGAAAGAGGAGGAGGAGGAAGATGCCGACTTTGACAGGTCTGGAAAGAAGAAGAAGGATGTCCGGTTTCTTGATGCCGCGCAGATCATGGGCCAGGAACACGGCAGCAAGAGTGGTGGCCACGTGAGGCTCGATGACCAAGACAGCGAGGACGACGAGGCGGAAGCACAGCTGGCAGCCCTAGAAGAGGGCGTAGATGAGGAAGTCGGTGCCGGCGGTCTGAAGCGTAATGCGCCAAAGGTCGAGGCCTTCAACTTGCAAGCGGAGATGGAAGAAGGCCAGTTTGACCAGTCTGGCAACTACGTGCGCAAAGCAGCCGACCCAGACGCCGTCCACGACAACTGGTTAGACGGCGTGAGCAAAAAGGACATGAAAAAGGCAGCTGCCGCGCATGAGAAACGCGAAGCTGAAGCGCGACAGCAGCGCCGCGAAGAAGCCGACGTCCTCGTCTCTGACATGCTCAAGACCCTGATCCTGCAGTTGGAACCGTCAGAGTCGCCCCTCGAGGCCCTGGCTCGGCTGGGCAGAGGCCAGACCAAGACCAAGAAGATACCCAAATGGAAACTCAAGAAGATGAACAAGGGCGCAGAAGACATGGAGGTGGACAAGGAGGTGGACAAGGAGGACTCTGCCCAAGACGCGGAGCAGATGCGAATCAAGGAATCCATCAATGCCATCACTGACGCGGCTGACAAATTGCTCAGCCGTGACTACGAAGAGGTCTACGACCAGGACCGCGAGCTGCTCATTCGGGCATACCGGCGCGAGACCGGGGAAGATTGGGTCGAACCGGCGTCACGGCATCAAGATGTCGCGCACGAGGCGACTGCCACTGCTGAGCCGCCAAGCCAACAATGGGAATTCCGCTGGACAGATGGCCGCGATGGCGGAGCGAAGCAAGGCCCGTTTGACAAGGCGACCATGAAGGCGTGGCAGGATGCCGGATATTTCGCACAGGGCATCGAATTCCGGAGCGCTGGCAGCGGTGATGACGGTTGGACAGCGACGGCCACCTTTGCGTCCTGATTATTCCATGCGCGGCGAAGCGTGCGTCATCCGCCATTTGCTGGCGTCTCAAAGCGCAGGATTTTGCTGATGCTCGAATGAGGCATGAGCCAATTTTGGGACTGTCTACACCACAATAGAATGGATGAACCGGCGATTGTCTCGCAAATTATCTGCCGTGTAGGATGGAAACATTAAACATGGCACACTGGTGGAGACGATTTCATGGATGGCAAGACTAAGCATTGGGCCCAGACACGGGGGTTGACACACGGGCAGGTTGCCCCGGTCCAGGTGGAAGTTTACGATTGAAAACTTCCGAAGAGCTTGTATTCCCTGTGGGCAAAGTTCGGGACGACGAGAACTGTTCCTGGTGTTCCCGACGACTGTCCCCGGGCGGACGCGGCTGCAAAGGCCAGAGCCGCCCGCAGCCGTGAAGCTCCGGGAAAGATGGGCAAAACGGGCGAATGGATGGCCAATACAGATGAACCATTTCCCGCCATGCATCCGAGCCGCCCACGCGACCAGAGGGGCCCCGGAATTAATTAGATTGAGGTCATCGTGAAGGCATTCCGCTGCTGAGAGTGCGACAGAGCTGGCGTCGGTACATTTTGGACATGTCTGGGCCGTCTGATTTTTTTTTCCGTCTCCTCTCACACCTGACTGCGTGAGTCAGCAGCAAGTCGTCACCGCGACCGGAGACACGTTTTGAGTGATTTATCATGGCTATTACTCGCGGTCTTGCTGCCAGCAGGCATATCTACAACACGATAAGGCCAGCAGGGCCTACCACGGGGGTACATGGACGCCAGGCTGCGACAACCATGGAACAGCGGGTACCCCTCATGTCCATGTTTTTTTTCTCTCTCTCAAGGTGGTGCTCATGTGCTCGTCGGTGTGGTTGAGAGAGCGTTTCTATTAACGAATTGTGTCCCCGCCGGATCCGTAAAAAAGACGCATCGGCTGGGTGGAGCAAGGCGAGGCCCGTCAAAGCATCATCAATGGCTGAGCTCATTCGATTCCTCATCAAATTACATGGCGCAGGGAAGAATCGCTGGCGAATTTTGCCTTTGCGGTGCATGCAAGTGGCGGCTGGCTGGGATATTGGATGGCCACTTGCACGACCACGGCGAGGATGGACATGAAGCCCGCGGCGTCTGGCATGGCAAGGCAATTGAAATATCGTCTCGTTGAATAGCGTGAATAGTAGTACCGCTCGTGTATCAGAACCCGGCTCCGTCTCACGGTGCAAGTGTGAATGATGCATGCACCCGCTTGGCTAGGTTTGCGTGCACCAGTTGTTGGCCGCTGACGTCTGCTGGTCTCAACAGTCCCGACGCCGTGGCCAGCCAAGACGCAGCCAGTTGCGCGCCCAGCAACACACCAGACACCCCAAGCACCAGACCCAAGCTCCCAAGCTCCAGGGACATGGACTGACCACTATTTTGTCCCGCCTTCCCTCCGTCCCCTCCGACTCCATCTTCTTCCCTCTTCCTCTTCCTTTTTCTTCTTCTCTTCCCGCTCTCCATACAACTTCACCATTCTTCCCACCAGGCACTTTGTCCGGTATGTATCCCGTCCTGCATTGGCTGAGCAGAGCTTGACCACAGCTCGACACCAGCTCCGTCTCTAGCTTCCCAGACTCCCGTGCTGACGTCCAAGCTCCAGCTCTCTCCATATACACACACGCAAAATGGCTCCCGTCAAGGTTGGCATCAACGGTTTCGGCCGTATTGGCCGCATCGTCTTCCGCAACGCCGCCGAGCACCCCGAAATCGAGGTCGTGGCCGTCAACGACCCCTTCATCGATACTGAATACGCCGTGAGTTGTCCCTTTTGCCCTCTTTTTCTGCCGTCGTGTCCGAGTGGGCTGTTTGGCTTGCCCCTCCCCCTCCTTCCCTTGGGTAGTGGCCCATTCACTGCCCCTCACTTGACTCTGCAGGTCCATGCCACCACAACAATTCCAGCTGGGAGCCCCACGCCAGCTTTACTCTTGCGAATGCCGCTTTGCTGACTGGAACCCGTTTGCCATGACCAGGCCTACATGCTCAAGTATGACTCGTCCCACGGCATCTTCAAGGGCGACATCAAGAAGGAGGCCGACGGCCTCGTCGTCAACGGCAAGAAGGTCAAGTTCTTCACTGAGCGCGATCCCTCTGCCATCCCCTGGAAGTCCGCTGGCGCCGAGTACATCGTCGAGTCCACCGGTGTCTTCACCACCACCGACAAGGCCAAGGCCCATCTGGCCGGAGGCGCCAAGAAGGTCGTCATCTCTGCTCCCTCTGCCGATGCCCCCATGTACGTCATGGGTGTCAATGAGAAGACGTACGACGGCAAGGCCGATGTCATCTCCAACGCTTCCTGCACCACCAACTGCCTGGCTCCCCTTGCCAAGGTCATCCACGACAAGTTCACCATTGTCGAGGGTCTCATGACTACCGTCCACTCCTACACCGCCACCCAGAAGACCGTCGACGGCCCCTCTGGCAAGGACTGGCGTGGTGGCCGTGGTGCTGCCCAGAACATCATTCCCAGCAGCACCGGTGCCGCCAAGGCTGTCGGCAAGGTCATCCCCGACCTCAACGGCAAGCTCACTGGCATGTCCATGCGTGTTCCCACTGCCAACGTCTCCGTCGTCGACTTGACTGCCCGCATTGAGAAGGGTGCTTCCTACGACGAGATCAAGGAGGCCATCAAGGAGGCTGCCAACGGCCCCCTCAAGGGCATTCTCGCCTACACCGAGGACGATGTTGTCTCCTCCGACATGAACGGCAACACCAACTCCTCCATCTTTGACGCCAAGGCCGGCATCTCCCTCAACAAGAACTTTGTCAAGCTGGTCTCCTGGTACGACAACGAGTGGGGCTATTCCCGCCGTGTCCTCGATCTCCTTGCCTACATTGCCAAGGTTGACGCTGGCAAGTAAATTTTGCCTTTGATTGCTACGACAGGAACCGACTGCTCAATATCCTGCATCGGGAATGTGGCTTTGGCAACTCCATGGTACTTTTGGCTGCGGTCCCCGAGAATGGCCTCAAGGGATTTTTTTTTTTTAAAGAAAATAAGAGAGTAACCGAATGAAACCAAAATCGAGTTTAAACTGGCAGCTGGGGACTTAAAATTGTTTGTAATGAAAATGAACAAAATATTCTCTGGACATGGTCCGGTCGAGGCAGGGGTATATATACAACTACTTGAGAATAGATTGCCTGTTTCTGTCCATTGTATGCCTTAACTTGTAGTGGTGGGCGTAATGTCCGCGGTGTCGGAGTTTACGTGTAAAAGAACACGCTTGTATTCTTTACTCTAGACATTGTCATTTGCCCGTCATTGTACACTGTCTATTCGCAGCACTGCTCTGATCATGTCAGTAATGTAGTTCAGGAGTTGCACATTGGCCCCGGTGCTGATTTCATCAATTTCCATTCATCTACTGCTACTTTGCACGGTGCCAGACCCAAGCCATGATCCACGCCCATCACCACCTCCTTGCCAAACACATCGCATCTGGAAATCGAAAAAGCAAAATGACGCTCTCCCTCTGGAGACGGCGGACAAAGTATGAAACGGAGGGGATATCATGGTACAGGAATGAAGAAAATAAGGGAAGAGGAAGAAAAGTATAAAGGAAAAAAAAAATACACTGAGGGGCGGGCGGGAGATGTCCTAGATGGCAGAGCTAGACTTGATACCGTGTGTTGTGCTGGGGGGATGAAGAGAAAGATGTGTTCAACTAAAACGCCGTGGATGCACAGCCCGTCCCGGGCTTTTTGTCCTGTTCCCGCTCTCAAAAACGTCCTGACGCCTCGTGTTTTTTTCAGTGTTGCTGGCGGGCATTCCGCCTGGCCCTATTTCTCTCATAATACATGGACGGCTGGTGGGTTGTGCTGCTGCTTGACGCACCAGCCGTCGGGGTTTTTTGGGTGAATACAACCACTGTCGCCGGTTTCATCGGCGGCCGGGACCCGGTGGCGCGGTCCAAAGATCCTTGAGTGACTGGGTGGGAGCCCAGTCGATCTTCTCCTCGGCGCACCATAGTCGCAGCACGCGTAGTGATGCGTCGGCAACGTCGTCGAGCGTGGACCACGGATGCACGTCGACGCGAAGGCGCGGGTTCTGGATGGTGGAGGAGACTTCGTGAACGCGCGGCCATATCTTGTTCTTTTCGCGCAACCTCGCGACAATCTCCTTGGCGAGTGCATCATTGAGGCTGTCAAAACGGATGTAGCACCTGATCAACTCGTCCAGCGACATGGCGTGCAGCATGAGGACCATGGCATACAGCGGTTGGCTGTTGCTGACGTCGCAGCGGCGCATTTCGTTCTTGAGGAACTCAATCATGGGAAGCATGCTCAGCCATGCGCGGTGGTCTCCAATCTTGTGGTCCATGCCGCGCCAAATGTCTGCTCCGTAAAACGCCATCATGAAGACAATGATGCTCTCGAGGCTCAGGACAAAGCCAGACTTGACCTTGGCCTCTCCAGGTTTGCCCCTCATGCTCCCCGTGTCGCCGCGGAACCTCTTGAGCGTTTGGTCTGCTTCGTGTTTTAACTTTTTTCCCACTTCCTTCAGCCGCTCCACCTTGTCACTCATGGCCTTGGCCTCTGCGCTTGTTGCCTTGGGAGCAGCGTCGCTGCCGTTGGGACGACGGTCTGCAGGCGCGGCCGCCGACGCCGAGGGAGTCGAGTTGACTGCTTCCGTTGGCGTTTGCGCTACAGAGTTGGTCGAGCTCACTCGTGACATGGCAGCAGGCTTCTTGGATGGTGTTGCTGGCGTGGCGAGCTTCTGATGTGTCGATACGTCCGACGACCGGGGCCGCTTCATGGCAACTCCATCAGAAGCACCAGTCACAGCCCCAATAGGTCTCTTCCTTGCTGGAACATGTTGCCCTGCTTCCTCGCTACCGGCGCGAGTCCGCTCATTCTCACGTTCTGACTGGCTTTGGGAATCTTTGCGACGTGCTGGTGCGCGACCAACAATATCAGCAAAGCTTGCTCGCAGTGCCTTGGGCACATTGAGAGAGACAATCAGCCTCCTGCGGTGGCCCAGTTTATTCTTCGGCTTGCGATCGTTATCGCCATCCCTTTTAATCCCGAGGGCGTCCCTGCCGTCTCTGCATCTCTCATCTGACGAGTCCGATGCAACCTTTTTTCGTCGTTTCAACTCTGCTTCTATGGCTGGCGGTAAAGTGGGTGATAATAATGGAGGTATTGTCACTGCGGGTCTAGGCTTCTTGATATCCGTCTTCTTTTGCTTCGGTGTCGCCGCCGCCGCTTCACTTGGGCCGTCCTGCCTCTTTCTGTCTTTTCTAGAGCTCAGGTCGTCATTGTCGCCACGCGAGGGCCTATCCTCGAACCCTAGATGCAAAGGCGACAGCAATGGCGGTACGTGTGCCTTTGTTGAGGTGTCTGGCTTCATTGGTGAGGTTCGGTTGGCGTTGTTTCCACGCGCCCCGTTTAAGGAATCGCCGCGAGGTCGACTAGCCGGCGACGTACTCCGTCCAGAGTTGATGCTGCTCTTCAGAATAGATCTTCCATTCAGCAACGAGGAGGACGAGGGCCCCCGATCGTCTCTAGAAGCAGGAGCAGACCCATCCCGATCCCTACCTCTGTCTCTATCTCTGTCCCTATCTCGCTCTCTCTCCCTGTCTCGCGATGCTGGGAGAGGCTTTTCTTTCCGCCGTGGCACCTCGTCGCGATTGGATTGCGGGCGATCCTCAGGCTTCGGCCGTTTTTGTGGGCGCTCGTCATCGGCATCAGGCATACGTCGCTTGCCTGCAGGTGAGGGGGGGCGTGGAGGTAACGATGGCGGTTTGGGGGGGAGCCTGGGGGGGGAAAGGCAATATTGTTAGCTTTGTAAAATTGACTACAGAGTTTATCATCAGGCCATGCCCACCTTGTGTCAGCAATGTTGTGGTCGCGAGTCGGTTTCGGCTTTGCGCCGGTAGACTCTGGCTCCCGTATCCTTGGGCCATCCGGCCGCTTGGGTTCTTGGCGCGGTAGTTTGTTGGTGCCATCAGCAACTGCAGGGGCGGGGGTAGATGTTGCAGAGCTGGTGGCAGCCGCGGCACGTTCGCTCTCCTTCTTTTTGGTAATGGCGGGCTCCGGGGGCGAGGCAGAGGCGACGAGGCCAGTCTTTTTGTTCTTGTAGTCGCTCAACGACAACTTCTTCTTCTCGCCAGTACCGGTGCCCTTTGCGAGCGTGCTGACCTCGCGCGGTACGGGCTTGACCGGCTCTTCTCGCATGTCGTAGTAGGGTCGCGTGAACAAGGTGCCACGGTCGGCCTCGGATAAGAATGTCAGATATTGCAGACGGGTGTTGTGCCATTCCTCGAAGCGCCTTTTAGCGCCACGAGATTCGGCCGCGTCGTCCTCGGGCGGTGGGCGATATCGCCAGGTGGGATGAAAGGCTAGATGGTGCGGTTTCTCTGGTAGAATGCGCTTGGAGAGCACCTCAACCGTCTTCGCCGCAGCTTCCATTGTTCGCGGGGCGTGACCATGCCGGGAGGCAAGACGCGGCGGCGAGCGATCGAGCGCAAGCGGCGGCAATGGCGGCGGAAGCGACGACAGTAGCAGCAAAACACGCGGCTACGTCGTCGCACGAAATGAGGCGGCTCTCCGGCTGAGAAGACGGTTGAATGGACCGAGGGCGCGAAACGCCGTGCGGTAGGCGATAGTGTAGGATCGTAGCCGCGAGGGTGGGAGGTCGTTGGAGTTGTGACCCTGGACAGAAAGGATGGGGTAGATTGGTGTCGGAGCCGGCGTGGATTTTGTCGTCCCACCACGGTTGAGCCCGAGTCCACCACGTCGCTGCGACGATGGGCCTCGAGTCGGAGGATTGTATAGGCGTGCTCTTCGACCACGAGGAACAAACGAGGCAAACGAGTGGATTCGCAGGGCAGCAGAGAAAGAGTTCAGCTGCGCAAAGCTCGCTCCCTTCCCCAATAGCCAACAATGGGGGCGGTTGCGATTCAGCGCGGGCCGAGACAATGGTCGACGGAAGCCCACTACATTCGAGGTAAAAGAAAACACGGGAAAAAAAAAAGACGGGGATGGGGTTGGGGCGAAATGCGGCCGACTTTTTGGGGCCTTGTCACTCGTCAGCGGCCAGCGTCAGTGCCTGGGACAGTCTTTGACCCCGTCGTCGGTGAACCGTCTTGGTTGGCCGCGTGCAAGATGGGCGCCTTCAACACCCGGCTCGCTCCCAATGGGGGATTTACGCGGCTGTCTAGCGATTGAGACTGGGTACCCTCCGTTGTTGGTTGCTGGAGGTGAGTTGATGTCGGATGTCAGCGTGATGCCTGCCAGTGCCAGGCCACGGGTTCGGGTGGTTGTGGCTGGTGATCAACCCAAGATGCTTTCCACCTGGGCAGGCCCGCTTTGTCGCCGCACCTTGTCGATTCGCGTCGTCGGAATACTCGTGTGCTCCGTACCACACAGTGCGGGTGAATTGGTGCAGGATTAACACATGCTGACGGCTGACGATGTCGAGTAGGTTGAAGGGGATTAACAATGTGAGTAACCAAGTGGGTTTGCAGCATTCCTCCGCCGCAAACGTGAGGAGTGCCTGCCAACTTTCGGTGGAAAGTACCTACCCACGTACCTTCCTTGCTTTGACAACGAATTGCAAGGTCGCCCTGCGTGCACATGGGCCCTAGACTCAGGTACCAGGTACAAGAATGCCGTGCTTTGATACGTCAATACGCAATATCGCAATATCAAGCACTCAAGTGGCATGAAGAGAATGCTTTCAAACTCCATCCAGTGTCCCTGCTGGCGGGCGGGAACGGACCAAGCAAGCGGACATCTGGACGAACAAGCGACGAACAAGCGACGAGATACTCGAGTGACCTATGCGCTAAGCCCGGGTGTCATTGGATTGTATAAATCCATTCCTTGTGCATCGCGCCCCCGGACCAGATAAGTG